GGGGGGGGGCATCATGACCGAAAATCAAACCGACAATTAAATACCTGTATTGCCAAAAAAAAAAAGAAACATTGAATAGATTGTGCTGTCTAGCACTAATACGAGCCTTCTTCGTGATTGGTGAGCGCAGTTTCAACAGCAATTCTTATTTAGTGGGGTGGGTGACATTCCTGCGGATTTGGGAGCACTAACAATCGATATTAATCCATGAGAATCGCCATAATGTCCTTTTCAGTTCGATGGTCTTTTTTTTCATATAATAAGTGTTGCTCAGAAAAAAAAATCGAGATGCCGACAATTTTTTCCCTTACGCTTCCATTAATCAACAGACGAGTTGTGCGGTGGTGTAAAGTTTAGATATTACACGCTTAACGAAGTGGAAGGCATGTGCTTCAACACTCGAGTGATAGTCATCAACTTTTCTACCTCATCAGGCTATGTTATTAGGGTGCTGTAAGCTGCAGATCCAAGGTGTGGGAGAACCAAGTAAACCAGTGGAGGAGGTTTGGCTTGGCTGCGCTAATTAGTTCTACAGGGGTTAACCATAAACAAGTCACCATTATCCACGAATAAGCACATTCATTTTTCAATGCCAATATTGTAATTCAGCGTCGAACAGAAATGTCAGCGAAGATGACGCTTTCAGTGTGTTTTACTACGCAGGTTCAAATCTGGGCATATCGATTGAAGGTGCCTTTGAACAGTAATCGACTTTCCGTTCATCTTCATATCGCAGATGGGAAACTTCTTGTTCGTGATAAATTGTTTTATCCCAAGTTGGCAGAAGAGTTTTCCGCAGACGCGCTTCTGTAACTCGCCCGTGGGGGGACTCCTGAACGGGTACACTTTGTAGGAGCTGACAATGTTGCAGATGCCGAGGTTTATCTCGACGAAACCAGTCGTGGCCATGGAATCGATGATGGCCAACTGCGTTTTGTTGCAGAGCGTATATGCTGTGGAACCTGCAACTATCGCAGTTATCAGTAGCAACAGGTACTGGAAACGGGCAAGCGACATTCTTCGTCCCGAGTTGTTGAAGCTTGAGCAGTAGTTGCAGCTTACGTAGTTCGATGCCAATTGGAAAATGACAATGCATGGCACCAGTCGTAAACCAGAACGAATACAAGTTAAGGCTTGCATCATCACGAAATTAAGCGTTCGAATTATTGCGTTCGTGGTAGAATACCTAATAACTCTGGTGTAGTGATGAAGGGTTCGAATTACACCAGTAATGGAACCTACCTTTAGGTGGTAAACCTGAATATGTAGATTCATGAACCTCGTTCGGCACCAGACTTGACTTGAGTGAACAGCTGGGTTATCAACCTTCACCTGCGTAATGCATGGTACTAAACTGGCCAAATCCGATCTAGCGGGTCGCTTATATGAAAAGCGGATGCAGACACTACGTTAAAATCGACAACTTGCTGGAGCATTGTCAAGATTATTTATTGCCTCAGAGCTGAACCAGTAGGGAAATGAGAACTAGTGGCCCAAAAAACACAGTGATGGCACCGAGGACGCCAAGAAACTTTTGTGTCCCATCGGAAATGTATTGGTCCTTGGACAGGTATGAGCGCACCTTTCTGACGCTTTGTCTTGTGGGGGCATTTTGCAACGATTCAACGAGCCTGGGGTTGCTCTGTAGAGTCTCGAGCCTTTTCAGCACCGTGGGGTTCTCCTTGACACTTTTGAGATTCTTCATAATGACTGGATTTCGCTTTAGATGCTCCACTTCCTTCATAAGCGCGGGGCTACTTTGTAAGGTCGCCACATTCTTGTTTTTCCACCGAAAGAGTTCTTTCAATGGATTGAGACCCCGAGCTTCGTCTTCCTCGTCATCGTCAGACCTTTCATCCGCGTGGACTGTTGCACTGCTTCTTACGCTCTGGGGCGCGTTGACATCCTGAAATGTCGGGTGGCTTGAGTTGGATTCCTCGGCTACCCCCTTAGTTGTGTCCTTGGCATGTGCGAGGTCAATGTAGCACTCCAAGAAATTGAATAGAAGCAGTACCAAGCAGAACCTTTGGCGCATCCTGTTTGTTGCGTCTTCACGATCTTGGTTTGTCGAATTGAGATGTGGGGAAGCAGATATTCACACTGTACAAGTAAAGTGCCGGCGATTGTTCGACGTCCATGAACTAAACACGCGATGCGCGGACTAAAGAATTCTAAACTGAATAGTTCTA